GATGTCTGTTTGTCCACTAAAATCTATCTTCCCAACTCCTTAATGTGGAGTGGTTACTGTCAGACAGCTGCCCAGTCAGGAACTACATTTCCCAGAGTGCTTTGTGTCCAGTTGTGTGGCCATGTGACTAGTTCTCACCAATGGAATGGGATTGGGAGTGACCTGTCATTTGAGACTTTAATGAAGCAAAAAAAAAAAAAAAAAAAAAGGGTGTGTGTGTGCAGTACTCACTCCATGCCCTTTTTCTCTTTCTGCAGTCTGGTGCTGGGAGCTCTGAGGTTCTAGGGCAGGGCTTCTCAAACTTCTGTGTGTATGAGTCACCCACACCTGGAGATCTTCTTAAAAGGCAGTGCCAGTATAAGTGGGTCTTAAGCAGGGCCTGAGATCTTGTATTTCTAACAAGCTCCCAGGGATGGCAGTGCTGCTGATGCTCAGACCACTTCTCAGAAGCAAGGCTTTAGAGAATGGTGGAGTTATAGGGTAAAAGAACACGAGCCTCTGAATCACTAAATGAAGAAAATCGACTTCTTCAATCAGCAACTGCTGACCTGTTACCTGAGTGAGAAATACACCTTTTTGGACAGCAGCTAGTGTTCTGGAAGGTGGTTGACACAATTCACTGCTTCTTTCTGAAAGCATCTTGGCTGAGAATTCAGGACAAAACCATCTCTGGCTGTCCCCAGCCCCCTTAGTATGGGTGTGTGTTCCAGATGACTCCTTCATGTTTTGAGAGACCCATACCTCACTTTACTTTAAAACACTACACGCCCTCATACCATTACCTCCTTGATAATGGCAATGGTTAAGAAAAAAAAATCTTGGCTTTGTATTTGTTGGCTCAGACTAAAAACAGAGAGTGAAATACAGTTTGAGTTGGGCTGTGAATGGTCTGGTGGGGAGGTTAGTGTAGAGCTGATCATGAGGGTCTTTGATCGTGGGAGGTCAGAACAGAGAGCTCAGGTGGTGACAGGAGCCTGGGCAGGGAGTCAAATGGGATCCGTGGTGTCTGTTTGTGTGTGTGTCATTGTGAAGAGCTGCGATTGGAGCAGAGAGGCAGAGGGAGTCTGGACCAGTACAAGGCCAAAATCCTCAGGGGCCTTTTGCATGCTTCCAGCAAACATTTACAGTGGGGAGGCCAAGTTCATCTAGGGAATGCTGACCAGCTGGACACAGTGTGCTAGAATTTAGCCAAGGATATTAGTGGAAAATCTCTCCCTGGGTTTTGAGCAAGGACGGCTGGAACAAGAAGGCCTACCCTATCATTGTCGCTCTGGCCGTGACCTTACCTTCCTGAAATGAGTCACATTCTGCTCAAGCCCTGCTAGCTTTGGGATGAGGCTGGGCCTAAGCATGAGCGGGAGAAAGTCAAGGGGAAATAGTTATATGGGCTTATTTTGAATAAAGCACTTGGGTGAGTTGCAGAAGCTAGGTTTCATCCCAGGCAGTTCTCAAAGGACAACATCAAGCCACTCTGTCAGTATTTTGTAGAAATAGTAGCAGAAAATTTGAGAAAAATTGCAAACTGTCCACTCTGACTAGTCAGGGCCACTTACTGTGTTGAGAGCCATTCTTATTCAAGGGAAACTATATTGGATTTAGAAATGAGGCCATTTAAAAAAAAATATCCAATTTTCAGCAAGTATTCATTGAATGCCTATTATATGCTACGCATCATGAGGGTTGATCGTAGAAGCATGGGATGCATCTTCAGTCCACACCTGGATGATGGAGGAAAGAGTGGAGGACCTATAAAAGAAGAGTTGCGAGTGTGTGTACTGATCAGACAGGAAAGTTCTTTGCAAAGTTGCCAATGCAGCAGCCAGGGCTCCTGAGTCCTCTGGAAAAGGCTGGCCTCATCCGTCTGAGACAGAAGTTCCAGGAGACTGAGCTCAGCGCCAGCAGCCTGGGAGGGCTGGAACCTCCCGCAGAGGATGGAGAGGAAGGGACAAGGGACTAAAGTCAAGGGACAGAGGCAGGGAGAAGGGAGCAAACACTCTCCAGGCCAGAGTGTTATGTAGAGCAACAGGTTGTTCTGCCCAGTGAAAACCCAGAAGTAGCTTCCTGCTGCCTTTAAGTGGAGGCTCAAATCTTGGCTCAGGCCTGTTAGGCCCTGTGAGTCCTGGACCCCGTGGCTCTCCAGCCTCCTGCTGGCCAGTTCTCGTCCTCCTCTGCACCTCGGGGCACTGGCTCCTGTGGGACCCTCAGATTTGCCAGTCCTGGCCATGTGCCCTTCCATCCTGGTTTGCCGGGGACGGACGGGTTTGCTGGGATACTGACTCACGGTTTGAAAACAAGGACAGTCCTTGGCAAACTGGGGCACGTTGGTCACCTCGTTCCCTGAGGCTCGGGCTCCTCCATGCAGCTCCTGCCACCATTGTTCTCACCTGACACCTGCGCCCATTCAACCCCTAGCTCGGCCGCCATTTGCCAGGCCGCCCCTCCCACCACATCAGTCCCCGCACTGGACCTACCTCTGGCTCCTTCACCTCTCCTTCGTAGCTTTCATTCCAGGAAACTAGCTTTCATCTCCAGTAGTGCTCAAATGCTTCATGCCGGTTTGATGGAGCATCTCCATCTTTAGTCTGTGAGTACTGGCTGGGTGAATATTTCCTTCCGGGTAACCTGAGAGCCCCTCACACTTTGCATGGGAACGATTTACCTTCCTGGAGGTTCGAGCACTGTAAGCTCTCTGTGGGTAGTGCCTGCCTAGTTCATGGTTACAGTCTCAGACCGCTGCACCGTTCCTGGCCCATGGCTAACACCCCATAAATACTGAGACTCTCAGCATCACGGAAAATGTTTACGTATCCCTCAGTTGATAGTAACAACAATAAAAAAATGTATACGTGGCAAATATTTACTCTGTGCCAGGCTCAAGTCAGGGTCCCTGATTCTTTCTCAGCCTAGATGTTGATTACACATGTGTCTGCTTTAAAACCAAAAAAGTTATCCATAGGTTTTTATGTACTTTGGGGTGTATATGTTATTTCGTCACAATGTTGAAATTGGAGTCCCTGGGTATATGTCTGTGTTCATGTGCAAGTCTGTGTGTGGGTGTACATGTGTGAGTTTGTGTGTGTGTGTGTGTGTGTGTATGCACAAATATACACAATACATACACATACGTACTAAATATATATAGTTTCTTGGTCTTTATCCTGTAGCTGCTCATTTGCCCACATGAACTTGCTTTGAGGCACAACTAAGGGCATCTCCGAGTTGGCAATCCAGATCAAGAAGCAAGAATCCAGGGGTTCCTATTAATGAGAGATAACACAGAAGTAATTGGAAGGTATGCCACTGAGTCTCACGACCTCTGTTAATCTTTAACGTGTGGAAAGTGTGGCAGACAGGACTGTCGGTTTTGAAGTCTTCCTTCTATGAATTTCTTCATGTTCTTTGCAGCTGAACCACTTGCAGCTCACTTTCATTCTCTTCTTAAAGATGGGGATCATAAATTGGCTCACATCTTTCCCGGTGGCTCATGGACTTGAGATAGAAGGCAAATCTTTCCAGAATCCTTGTTTTCTGTAACAAAGCACTCTGCATGCTGATACTTACATGGATGTATTTGTAAGGCGTAGGACATTTCCCCTCCCAAATGGTCCCGTCTTAGTCAATTACATCAGAATCTCTGAGAGTGAGTCCCAGCAAGGCTCTAGGGAGTTGGTCCCCAAATCTTATCTTAGGCTCAATCTCTCGTCTGAACTTCATTCTCTTTGGAGTATGTCCATCTTTTTAGTCTATGCTTATTGGCTGGATGAGTGTTTCCATCTGGGTGACCTGAGAACCCCTCACGCTTTGTATATCAAAAAATGTAATGAGGTCCCTTCTTGATCTGGTCCTCCTCCCATCCTCTTTTTCACTCAGGCTTGGAGCCTGAGATGGTCCCTGACTTTGCATCCAGTAAGCCTGAGGCCTGCTGCTTCTCCATCCTCCAGAGGATGGAGTCCTGCTGCTTCTCCATCCTCCAGAGCCCTCCTATCTCTCTCCTCCATTCTGGGTGCTCAGGCCTCCTTATCGCTCACATGATGTTAGCACCTGCCAGAGTCTCCCACCTCTGCTTCACCGTGGACGGACCGCCAGGGCTTCCTTCCACAGCCAAGTGTTGATTTTATCCTTTCTCTGCTCAGAAACCTTTAATAACTCCCAACTGTTCCTAATGGCATTTGTTATCTGCTTGAAACTACCTCTCTTTAATCTAATTCCTCCCTCCCTCCCTCTCTCTGTCTCTCTCTCTCTCACACACACACATACGCACACACAGAGTCTTCATCAAAATAAACAATTCACGGGTTCTCTAACATATCTCTAAGTTTCTTAACTCTGACTTTGCTCATGCTGATCTCCCCCTTACACCTCATCTGCCTCTTGAAATCCCACCCATCCTTCAAATCCAATTAAAATGCCACATATCCAGGGTGACTTCTAACTGCCTCCAACTATTCCCACATCCTACCGAATCCCGAATCCCGCATTCCCGTGTCACACCCATTCTGTCTTGTGTCAATTGTCTTGGTCTCCTAACTAGATGGTAGGCACCCTGAGACTACAGGCTGAGTTCTGTTCCCCGGTCGTGTTTTATAGATGGCAGACACTGCACACTTTTTGTAAAAGTTTATGAAACTATGTTAAGTCAGTTTGTCTTAGGGAGCGACCCTGTTAGCACATGTAGCCCCTGAAATAGTTTTATTTTTTTTTCCCACAGATTTCTTGCAAAGGATGTATTTTCTTGTATGCATGCTTTAAATATGTTTATTTAAACCTTGCATTTGCAGATTTAACTCATTAATCTATGGAAAACACCTGCCACATAACCCAACGGGCAAAGCCAGTTGTTGTGATCAAGCCAGAGAGATAGCCATCACACATTCGAATTTGAATAAACGTGGGTGCTAAGTTTTAGATGGGAACCCTCCCAGGGCTTCTGAAGGAAGGCAGGCAGAGCCCACTTGAATGTTTCTTATTGATGCTATTTTGCTCTCTTTATTCTCTTGCAGGAGGGCTGCATCTTCCAATTGTCTCTTTGATTTTACACCCCGAGGTCATGTACCCGAGTGAAATGCAGGATCGATGGTAAGCTCATCTTGCTTCTCTAATGTAAAAGCTCCTTGCAGTGGGCAGGTGGCGATGTGGGAACTGGCCATCCACGGGTTTGAAATGCATAAATATAGAAGTTGAATTTCTGAAAACGAATTTCACTGAAGCTCTCCCTGCCTGTGTACCCCCTAAAAAGTCTCTTTGTACCCCAGGAATGTGTGCTCCTCAGTGTGAAGGCAGTTGACCTGGCATGAAATCACATGGATACACCTTGTTAGGGTTTTAGAAAATTGACCTTCCACCCAAGAAGGAAAGTCAAGGGTCACTTTGTTGACCCTTGTCAAGGGTCACAAGATTCAGGAGATCAGGTTCTTCCAGGTGAAATTGCTCTCCAAGAGGCAGTTTCATCAAAGAAAAGATCCCATCAAACTATTGGAACTCTTAAAAACCTAGCTGACTCTCGTGTGTGGTTGCCAGTACCCTCCCCTGAGTGGTAGGACACGCTTAAGTTTTTATGGAGTCCCTGATCACTGAGCTGTCTGGGTGATAGGCCACCCAATGCCCAGCAAGGTTTCGGTGTAATTCTGGGATGGTGTTCTCTTGTTTATACCCAAATGCCTACCCCCACAGCATTGCCACCAATAATCATAACCATACCCTTTACCACATTTCATTGGCGCCCCAAATGAACTAGACACAATGCAGAACTCATCATGAGACTTAGTACCCTTACTATTATTAGCCTTGGAAAGCACTCATGTGATTTTACAGATATCCTGTCTGGCACTAAGGTTGTCTGAAAAAGAATCTTTGTTCAGTCCTAATTCTTCGGCAATTAGGTCATTTGATTTTGCCATGAGTTTGGCCTGAGAAAGAGTCCTATGAATAGGACAGGGCAGACTCAACCTTTGGAGAGCCCCATGCTTACACAGTTTGGGGCAAACTCATCAAGAATGAATAATAAAATGTCAAATGGCTTCAGTTTGTTCAGCCTCACAACAAACCAGCTCTAGTGCAAGAACGGTGATCAGGTTTCTGGCGGAGGGCCTCACACTCAGAATACACATTTGAAGTTATTCCAGGCACGTTTGGACTTAAGAGCCACACGCTTTTCCATCTCTGGGGTCTGTGCGATCCACTGCTTGGAAGGTGAATCAGACCCTGATAAAAGCAAGCGAGGGGTTCTCTGCTGAAGGTCTGGCTGTTGTTCCAAGACAGAGGCTGCAAACTGGTGGGCTGTGGGCCTCACCTAGTCTGCAGATGGTTCATGGCGGCAGTGTTTTGTCTTCTTGTTCAGTGTTTCTTAAAAAACGTGATTTAAGCTTGTCAAAACAATAAAATTTCAAATAAAAAGCTGATTTTTTTTTCTTCTCTTGAGAAACTGAAAGGCTATTCCACGGTGGAGTTGGACCTGACAAAATGACAGCTTTAGAGGAGGGACATGCTTGTCCATTGGCCCAGTCCCCAACCTGGCTGTCTTCATTTTTTCATATTTCCTGCCTGACCTTGGAGCCATTTGATTCACGGTAAGGCCCTTTTCCAGACCAGGTGCCTCACTGGCCTCATCGTACTCCTGCTCCGTCCCTACCCTAATCCCGTTGGACTCTGATTTGGAATCTTTTTTTTTTTTTTTAAAGATTTTATTTTTTCCCGCCGAGCAGGGAGCCCGAGGCGGGGCTCGATCCCAGGACCCTGGGACCATGACCTGAGCCGAAGGCAGACGCTTAACAACCGAGCCACCCAGGCATCCCATGATTTCCAATCTTTTTGAGGTCCTAATGATGTTTATATTTTTTCTTTTAAAATAGTAATTAGCCGTGCATCATGAATGTTTACACCCCATTCTGTTAACCACATTGTTTTGTAAGTCTTTTGCTTTCTCAGCATGCACTGGGCCTTCTTGGATTAGTTCATAAAGAATGACATGGATTTATTGCAAATACCTGAACTTTTGTGCTTGATGTCACACATCATGTCAGCTTCCTCCCTTTTCTAAAAGTGACACATACTTAATTTTTAAAAAAATTAATAGTGGAGTAAAAATGGTCAGTTTGGCAATGTTAGGCCCCCTACTATATGTATCAGTGGGTGGTCCCAACAAGACTAGGATTGGAACCTGTTTCTTTGGATTGTGATCTCTGTGATAGCGGGGTTGTCATCCTGTCATCTGTCACTCCACAGACCTCTCTTCTCCCCCGGGGTATGGACTGTAATACATTGCAGAGGGCATATTCAGCCTTTCATTTTGGATCTCTACACTACTGTTCACTAAATGTTGGCTTCTGCGTAAACTCCTTGGGATTTCACATGAAAAAATTTCAGAATTAAGAGGAAAAAAATGTGATGGGATTTATTGTTGATTGATACCCGAAATCCTTTTTTGGAAAAAAAAGGCACAGTTATCAATCAGGGTGGCAAGCAACAGAAACATACTGCCAGTTCATGGGGATGTAGTTAGCTGACAGGCAACTGGAGTGTCTTTGAGAAAACTCTGCATTTACTTGGCGGGGGGGGGGTGGGGGGGGTGGAAGAAACTCAACAGGTTTTTTTGTTTTTTGTTTTTCCCCGTATAATTCCACTGCATTTAGATTCAAGTTTGAAAAAAAGTCCTGTTTGGGGGCACTGAATTTCCATTCTAAAAAAAAACTATGAAAACCGCAGTTTAAAAAAAATTCAACTCCCAGTAATTACTTTCTTCAAATTAACACACAGCCTATATAGTTGGAAAAAGAAAAGGTTTTTGGATATATATTTTATTTGACAGTGTTTTAGAATATCATACAGTAAACAAGATTTCTGTAAAAGTTAATTTATCCATAGTGGTGCGTTTCATAAAAATAGTTGCTCACTTACAGTCTTTCTGTGACTATTAATACATGGAATTATATTTATAGAGATACAGCTGTACAGGGTAAATTCACAGCTAACACTACACAGAAATATTATTTGGAATGGAATTTAGATGATGTGCTGTCTTCACAGGTTATGGATTACAGCCGCATAAAGCAATTACTGCACAAGTAGTAGCTGTGAACTGTGCAAATGAGAGTTTATGCAAGCGTAATCTCAACTTTTTTATCCTTTTGTAACACATGGAAAATAAAGGTCAGAGGATACAGTACCGGGACGTGCAGCTACACTACAGAAGCATTGTCCAAAACCAGATTCAATAAATTAATGGCAAACTATACTGGATTTCTAGTCCAGGGGAGAAAGACTAATGGATTAAACCAAAAGTATTATAAACTGCTACATGTGTTTGTTTGTGCTTTTGTTTTTGATGAATGGATTCCATTTTTGGAAATTGCTTTTACAAGCTGCAAGATTCTTCACTTGAGGCTTTCAACCATATTCTCCTCTTGTCAAACAACTAAACTACTCCTATGCCTGATGGAAATTAAATGGCTAGTGCACAGGTTACTGCAATTTACAGAGAAGGAAAGAGTCAGCGGAGGAAGGCCATTATGTGTGACCTTGGGTGATGGACCTGATCTCCCGTTTTACTTATTTGACTACAAGCTCAGGGAGGTGAGGCTTATTTGCATTTGAACTCCTGTAAGGGCCAGAATCTGGGAAGGATGAAACCTCATTCATTCAGGACAAATTAAAGAGAAACTGCCCTCAGAAACAGTTTGCCTTTTAATATGTGTAGCTACAAATAAGTACCAATGGATAATTAACTGAAGGTAACATTTTACAAAGGAATATTAAAAGGGCAGGGAAGAAAGGCAGGCCTTAGAATTTTACTAGGGGATCAACCATAGATCGACGGAAGATAAACAGAAACATCTAGAGGTTGCTAAAGAAATTTAAAAAATGGCAAAGAATACAAAGACAAAAAAACAAACCAAATGAAAATAAGAGGAGAAAGGATAAGGAAAGATAAAGCAGAAAAGAATGCTAAAAGGTTCACATTCTTTTATGAAAATAAATTGGCCATTATATGATTTTTTAATATTAGGGATTCATTATAATCTGAGAAATACAGGAGAAACACTTTGCCTCTGCTCTATCAAAGTAAAAATGAAGTAACAGAAAGAGGATTTTAAAAAAGACAATAAAGTAAGTGAAATAGAACACTGCTGTCAAAGAAGCTACTATCTTTGCTAGCCCGAGACAATAGGAGAGCCTTTTCATAAAGGAACTGCAGCGTTGCCAATCTTGATTAAACAAATTGTGGTCCTTCAATTATAAAATGCACATTTTAGATGAAAACCAATTAAGATCTATGAGCTAAACTGCAAAATTCTGACTTACGGCAATCTGTTCCCTAAGATACAATTTTTTTAAACCTTTTTTTTCTACCACTGAAAATGTACAGAAATATGATTTGATCACAGAAATGGCAGTAAAAATGGCATCACACCAATGAATTCACTAGATGTCTAACTTGTCCTGCAGTATGCAGGGAACGTTGCTGCTAATACCGGTGATGGATGCCACGGGTGAGCCATGGAAACATGTTATGGGCGAACAGTTCCGAATGTTTCAAAGAAACCTTTTAACCCCTGTCTAGATATGTCGAGAACAATTTATTTACAACTCTTTAGATCAATTAAAAGATATAATCTTGTCTCAGTTTCCGCTTGCTCCGTGCAGTTTTGATTTTTAAGGCGATATTCCAGTTCGTGATTGCTCTTAACTTGTCCAGTTTCTTGATATTAGAGTTTGGATGGCATCCAAATCCTTCATGCAGTGGGGTAAATTTTTTTTTCTTTCTTTCTTTTTTTTAACTAAAGCTACACTGCACTGTCTCTCTGTGATGTTCTTCACGTTATTTTGGTTCTTCCATAGCTGCCAAAGCCCCCACAATGGAACCGGGGGCTTTAGGATCAGTTTGGGTCTGCGCGTGGACGCTGTATCGCCCATGCTCGTTGGACACGTGGGACTTCACGTCGATGCTCCCAGGCCTCGGTGCCTCGTGGATCTATGCGTGTGACAGTGAAAATAAATTAAAACGCCGTGAGACAGAACCTAAGAAGAACGGCCTGCAGGCGTCGAGGCGGGGCGGCGGGCTGCTGCCGCGCGCCTCATCTGCCCGCAGCCGAGGCGCCGGGCTTCAGGACGCCCGGCAGCTTGTCGGAGCCGGGCACTTTCCAAGGCCCGGGCGCCACGGCGGCCTTGCGCGTGGGGGCGCCCCCCGGGGGCCGCGCGCCCTGCCGGGGCCCCGCGCGCGCGCCCGCCCTGCCCTCGGCCTCCCGCGCG